ATGACTAAATCCTCCTACAATCGCAGAGGACAGAAAAACATTGGCACGCTCAGTGTTCTCCTCATAGAGAAGGAACAGCACCTTTGCCTTGTAATATCCAGGGTTTTGTGGAGGTGACCCCTGACCCCCTTACTCTACACCAGCTTGCCTGTTTTATCATCATCATTCAATAGATTCAATAGACTGTTTTATCATCATCATTCAATAGATTGTTGCTGAGCACCTGCATATACCAGTAGCTAGGGAGGCATAGGCTCTGCAGATGAGGGAGAAGCAGGCTTTGCCTTCAAGGAGCCATCATGCTCTGAAATTTTTCATCCGACCAAGAAGCAGGAAACAGGAGGAAAAAAAACAGTATTCTGCCATGGGCTGTGGGCAGAAAAACATTGTTCCTGTCTGGGTGGATTCATGTCCACGCTGGAAAAACACACACAGATCTGGTATGCAGACATCTCGAGGGCAGGGTGGGGTAGGGTGCAGAGGGAGTGCCCCAAAGTCAGCTCAGACAGGAAGCTGGAAGACACGAATCCCGGGGCCATAACACAGTGCCAGTGTCACCCTTCAGTTCCACCCAGCCGGACTGTTGGTGTTTTCATTCTGTTTATTTTTCTAAAGTTAAGAGGGACTAGGAGAGGACGGGTAGAAGACAAGCGATTACTCAGCATTCCCATAGTGTTTCATGTTTGCAAAGCACTCCTGCCCTTGCCTAGTCCTGAGCTGCCTTAAATAATAAAGGAATTTGAGAATCCAGCCAAGAATTCTAAGTGCTTAGCAGATGCAAGGACCTATCACAGGGCACCTGCCAAAGCAGGCACGCTTTTAAAAATTAATCCCATAAAATAAACACTATTAAAAATATAATGCAACATCGTAATCTCTCTGTCAAGCTGACCTCCCACTCGGTGGTCAATGAACTTGGTAAGCTCATGATGCCAGCTCCAGTGTTCTCAATCTCCCTCGCCATTCACACCTTGACATGCGCTCACTGTGAAGAACAGGCACTGACATCCTTTGAGACGAGAAGTTCTACGACTGACTCAGCAAAATGTTATGGTAGCAATTAAGAAGAAGAGCGGTTTCTTGCTGGCAGGACTACAGCATCCAGACCATCATAACTGAAGAAATGAACCATTTTTGTGTGATTGTCAAATGGGCCAGCACATCCTACAAGCATCCTGCAGTGTGAACTATAATATACTAGAAGCACTGTGGGTTTTGGACCGTTTGGACTCAAGTGCATGATATTCAAAATGAACATGTCTGTGTTTACATTTATATTCAACTAAGCTTAGTGACCCCCCCTTAGCTCAATGCATAGGGATGCTGTCTTGGGGAATGTTCATTGGCCAAATGGAGAACTCTCAGTAAAGTATAAATAGTGAGCACACCTAAAAGCACTTTTTTTTTCCTTTTTGTGACAGGGTCTCACTCTGTTGCCCAGGCTGGAGTGCAGTTGTGTGGTCAGCTCACTGCAACCTCTGCCTCTCAGGCTCAAGCAATCCTCCCACCTTAGCCTTCAAAGTAGCTGAGACTACAGGTGCACACCACCACCATGTTTGCCTAATTTTTAAATTTTTTGTAGAGATCGAGTCTCACTATGTTGCCCAGGCTGGTCTTGAACTCCAGGCCTCAAGGGATCCTCCCATCTTGGCCTACTAAAGTGCCAGGATTAAGGAGTGAGCCTCTGCACTCATCCTTAAAATTATTATTGCTATGAACCCTAACAGGACCAAGGGCTGCAATTTACTATTTTTAGAAATATGCTGAGGTCACATAAAAGCAAAAAAAAAATTATAAGACATATTTAAAAGATATCATCTAGGCCAGGCACTGTGTGTGGTTCACACCTATAACCCCAACACTTTGGAAGGCTGAGGCAGGAGGATCAATTGAGGCCAGGAGTTTGGGATCAGCCTGAGCAATTTGGTGAGAACTTGTCTCTACTAAAATAAATGAATACACAAATTAGCTAGGCAGGGTGGCACATGCCTATAATCACAGCTATTTGGGAGGCTGAGGCAGGAGGATAACTTGAATCCAGCAGTTCAAGGCTGCAGTGAGTTATGATCACACCACTGTACTGTACTCAAGCCTAGGTGACAAAGCAAGACCCTGCCTCAAAGAAAAAAAAACAAAAAACAATACACACTGTCTACTTTATTTCAGACCAACTCTCCACTCTTCCCTCCCACACTCTGTAGGACAACTGCAAAAGCCTGACAAAATAACACACACAAATACATCCACCGCCCTCCTGCAATGCCGCCATGCACACAAACACAAGAACTAACACAGTAGTGAAGGGATTACCAGGTCAAAAATCTGCAAAAGACCAAAAGCTAAAAAAACCAGCCCGGCATCTGGGGCTGCTTTCCACTTGGGACATTCATCTGCTGATTTAAGAAAGGATTCCTGGCTGGGCGTGGCGGCTCATGCCTGTAATACCACCACTCTGGGAGGCCAAGGCGGGCAGATTACCTAAGGTCATGAGTTTGAGACCAGCCTGGCCAACATGGTGAAACCCCATCTCTACTAAAAATACAAAAATTAGCCAAGTATGGTGGCAGGCGCCTATAATCCCAGCTACTTGGGAGGCTCAGGCAGGAGAAACACTTGAACCCAGGAGGCAGAGGTTGCTGTGAGCTAAGATTGTGCCATTGCACTCCAGCCTAGGCATCACAGCGAGACTCCATCTCCAAAAGAAAGAGAAAGGATTCCTGAGTAGCTGAGAAGCTGAGCAGCATTTCTGATGGTCTTGTGAAGCCAGAAGGACACAAATTGAAGCCCTGGGAATTGCCAGTGAGTTGGCTGCAATTTTACACAACAGAGAGTAAAACTAGCATATTGTTACAGACGAAGACAATGATAAAAGGTTTAATAAGCAGGAATTAAAAGTTAGAACTGCTTAACACAACAATTCTAAAATAGCAGCCACCTAAAAACAAGTCTGAGAATACATAAAGACAACAGCTGACATCACCGTAAACAGACACAAACTACAATCATGGTGGATAAGAGTTAACACAGTTCTATCAGTAACAGAAAAAGCAGGAAAACAAGTTAGCACAGACTAAACCTGAAAAATGACTTCGAAATTAGAACCTAATTGTCATATACAGAACTTTGCGGCCAGGCGCAGTGGCTCAGGTCTGTAATCCCAGCACTTTGGGAGGCCAAGATGGGGATATCACCTGAGCTCAGAGTTCAAGACCAGCCTGGCCAAATGGTGAAACCCCATCTTTACTAAAAATACAAAAATTAGCCAGGTGTGGTGACGCATGCCTATAATCCCAGCTCCTCAAGAGGCTGAGGCATGAGAATTGCTTAAACTCGGGAGGTGGAGGTTGCAGTGAACTGAGATTGCACCACTGCATTCCAGCCTGGGTGACAGAGTGAGACTCCACCTCAAAAAGAAAAAGAACTTTTTGCACCCAATGATCCTTAAATATACATTCTTTCCAAGCCCACATGGAAGAGTTAGAAAAATTGAACATACGATTTTTTTTTTTTAATGAAACAGTGTTTTACCATGTTGGTCAGGCTGGTCTTGAACTCATGACCTCAGGTGATCTGCCTGCCTTGGTCTCCAAAGTGCTTGGATTACAGGTGTGAGCCTGAACATATACTTTTTATTTGTACAATAGGAAAATGTGCATCCACTGAGGCTAGACGGAGTGAATTAACCTGGCCTCCTGACAAAAGAACTATGAGCTGATAAGACTGGAAGAGCTGTGGTTTCCATAAGCAAAGGAATCTGGAAAAGATAAGGTGACTGTCCCTAGTGTCTTGGAGACTCTGAATTCATGCTTGGCAGGCCTGAGATGATGAACAGTAGAGAGAGAATGGAAAGGGAAGAGTTCACACAGCCCTGTCTGTCTTCTCTCTGCCCCTGGGAGCAGCAAGATTACATCGAGCTGTGTGGAAGGGAAAAGGATAATGTGAAACCTCAGGCCTCTGCCAAGAACTAAAGGGAGGTGGCAGTAATAGCAGAGTCTTCCGTGCAACCAGGCAGATAATTTAGCTGTTCTATGGCCTAATCCTGCTTCCTTTCCTCCTGCCTTCCTGTCTCCTCTTTCTCATCCTGTGTTCTGTCCTGCCCTAGGAACTTGCATGGGGCTCTAGAGGACCATCTCTGTCATTTCACCATCACAAGGATTTACATGGGGGCTAGACCCAGAAAATGCACGCCCCCTGTCAAATCTGCCTAACTTCCACCTCATTTGTACCCTAACCTTCAGGGAGAATAACTGGACCCTAAAGGTTGTTCTTGGTTTGGTCTTAATTTCAGTGGTCTGGCTATGCTTTTGTTGTGCTCTCAAGGTTTGGATTAAAAATGTGGATTCATGGAGGAAGCCTTCTCCTAGGATTTAGAGACACCCAAGGTGAAGTTAGAAGCCAGCGGTGGAGTAGGTACAGACATGACTGGTGCTTTGCAGACAAACAGGCAGTCCTGAGTACGACCTGCAGCCCACTAACAGGTTAACGGAACCACCACCCTCGCCTGACCTAGTTGAAGGAAATATACAAGCAGGCTTTCTGGACCTGCTGCGATCCTGACCTAATTTTTCTAAAAGAATCTCAGCAACACCAGAAAGACTTTCTCCCCCAACCTGGGAACATTTAGTGCTGAATGGAAAGGGACCCTTAATCAGCAGTGCTTCCTTTGAGCTACTGCCAGCCCAACATCCCAAGTGTCTCCTTGCGAGCCAGCTCTGTCACTGATCCTTCTGTTGTGCCCAAGTGGCCGGGCCACACCAGTGCCCTTCACATATGCATGAGCTCTTACCCTGGTGTCTGTGCATGTTTGTGCTCATGTATTCAGCTGGCTGTTTTGAAATCATACTGTGTTCAAAATTGTGTCACTCAAGTACTTCCCGAGTTTTCACCAGCTCTGCTTCAGGAAGTAAAGCATGTTGATACCTGTTCTAAGTGCCTATTTAATAAGTAACGTACACTGCTTTTCCCTTGCCCTTGTCTGGCCGAAGGCCAGCCAGACTTACCCTCGTACATCTCCAGGATGTGAACTGTGTCACCGATCTGCAAGGAGAGCTCCACATCTTGAGAAGCATTGTAGTTGTAGATCGCTGGAAATGAGAAATAAAACAGGGAAATCAGAATGCATGTTACTACAGGCATGTGTAGGGATTCGTGAAAAACTCGGTCAACAAACAACTCTCTGTTTAATAATTTCATGTGAATCATCCATTGTAAAGCAGAGAATGGACACTCATTTCCTCCATCCAACAAGTATTGATCAGTTGCCTGCTACGTATCATGATCTGTGTTGGAGACTAGAGATAGAGGGGCAAATCACATAGACATGGCCCCTGTCCCCAGGGAACTTAACAGTCTAGTAGAAGGAAGAAAGACACCAAATACATAATCACAGAAATAACTATTTAGTTAAAATTGTGGTAAGTGTTAGGAAAGAATCAGGCTACAATGAAAATACATTGTGGGATTCTGTTGGTCAGTACCCTTGTTCTTCAGACAATGCCAGCCTGCAAGACCACTGAACTAATGATCTCTAGGACACACACAAGCCATATCCTGGCTTCCATGACACAGTATCTGATGGCAAGAGGCCACCTGTGAGGCCCATCCACCCTCCAGTGACAAACTGACACAGGGCATGCTGCAACCATGGTGCCTGGCCCCAGCCCAATGTACCCTGTGGAACTGGGTTAACATGGCACTTCCTAATCAAGGTGCCTCAGCCACCACAGTCCTTAGGGCTGGTAATGGCTGGGCCAGGTTGTGCAAAACAAGAGACTAACTCATAACTCAAAAAAAGAAGACAACCCAATTTTAAGACAGGCGAGAGCTTTGAATAGATATTTTGCTAAAAATTATGTATGAATGGCTAGCAGGCACATGAAGAGATGTTCAACACAATTAATCATGGGGAAATACAAATTAAAACCATACTGAGATAACACTCCACACATACTAGAATGGCTATGATTTAAAAAAAAAAAAAGAAAGGCAAACAATTGACAAGAATGTAAGAATGTGGAGAAACTAGAACTCTCCTGCCTTGCTGGTAGGAATGTAAAATGATACCGCTCCTCCTGAAAACAGTTGGGCAACTTCTCAAAAAGTTAAACATAAATTTACCATAGGTCCTAGCAATTCCATTCCTAGGTATCTAGAGAGAAAAATGAAGCCATATGTCTACATAAGAACCTTATGTAAATGTTCAGAGCTGTGGTGGTTGGCTGAAAAGTTTCCCCCGCCAAAAGAAATCTACATCAAATCCCTGGAACCTGTGTATGTCACTTGTAAGGCAAGAGTTGATTAAATTAAGGATTTATTTTTTTTGATGCTTTAAGTTCTGGAATACATGTACAGAATGTGCAGGTTTGTTACACAGGTATACACGTGCTATGGTGATTTGCTGCACCCATCACCCTGTCATCTACATTAGGAGAAATGCTCTCTCTCCCCACAACAGGCCCCAGTGTGTGATGTTCCCCTCCCTGTGTCCATGTCTTCAGATTGTTCAACTCCCATTGATGAGTGAGAACTTGCGGTGTTTGGCTTTCTGTTCTTGTGTTATTTGCTGAGAATGATATTTTCCAGCTTCATCCTTACCCCTGCAAAGGTTATGAACTCATCCCTTTTTATGGCTGCATAGTTTTCCACAATGTGGATGTGCCACATTTTCTTTATCCAGTCTATCATTGATGGGCATTTGGGTTGGTTCCAGGTCTTTGCTATTATGAACAGTGCTGCAATAAACATACATGTGCATGTGTCTTTATAAAATGATTTATAATCTTTTGGGTATATACCCAGTAATGTGATTACTGAGTCAAATGCTATTTCTGATTCTAGATCCTTGAGGAATTGCCACACTGTCTTCCACAATGGTTGAACTAATTTACACTCCTACCAATAGTGTAAAAGTATTGCTATTTCTCCACATCCTCTCCAGCATCTATTATTTCCTGACTTTTTAATGATTGCCATTCTATCTGTTGTGAGATGGTATCTCATTGTGGTTTTGATTTGCATTTCTCTAATGACCAATGATAAGTTAAGGATTTTGAGAGGAGTGGCCTTCCCTGAATTATCAAGGTGGGCCTTAAATGCAATCATACATCTTTACAGACAGAAACAGAGACAGCTGGGAGACACACCAGAGAGAAGGCGATGGGCAGATGGAGGCTGAGATTAAACTGACGTGACCTCAAGTCAAATAAGGCCAGTATCCACCAGGAGCTGGAAAAAGCAAGGAATGGAATCTCCCCAGGGCCTCCAGAGGGAGCACAGCCCTGTTTGCACCTTGACTTCCTAATTCTTGTCTCCAGAACTGTGGAAGAATAAACCTCCACTGTTGGAAGACATCAAGTGTATAATTTGTCATACCAGCCACTGAATTCCAATGCAGTAGCATCATTCACAACAGCCAATAAAATGGAAATAATTTATTAACTGATGAAAGGATACATGAAATATGGTATATCCATGCAATGGAATACTATGCAGCAATGAAAAGAAATGGAATACAGACACATACTACAATGCGAATGAACCTCAAAACATTATACTAAAGGAAAGAAGCCAGATGAAAAGACCACATAGTTTATGACCTCATTTATTCAAAATGTCCAGAATTAGACAAATCTATCAAAGGCAATATAGGAGATTATTGGTTGCCTGGGACTGCAGGAGGGGAATGGTGTTGACCACAAAAGGCCCTAAGGCCCTTTAAGATGTTTTAGATGAAAATATCCTAAAACTGGGTTGTGGTGATATTTACACAAGTCTGTAAATTTACTAAAAATCATTAAATTATATGCTTTAAATGGGTGGCTCTTATGGTATGTAAATTAGACTTGATGGAAGCTTTCTTTTTTTTTTTTAAAGTAGATTTACTTCTTACCCTCACTCTACTGATGAGGGATCTCTCCAGGAAAAATGAACCCCCTTCAGCTCCAGCTATGGACTTGACAATCCAAGGAACTCATAAGGCTCCCATCTCCGCAGGCCTCAATCCATCAGTATATCCCACAGAGAAGAAAGGCATCCCTGTCATTGCCAGCGGCAGCTCTTCCCAGCACTTCCCTGAGCCTGTGGTGCACCGTGTACCTGCAGCTTGGCTTATATCATGGTCAACCTATCAGTGAGCAGGGAGGAGCACACGTCCAGCCACCTCTTTTCCAGTGGCCTCTTCTTGATAAAGAGAGTCATCCAAGTAGTGCTGTCCTGCACTCCTGGCACAGAAGCCAGGACAGAGTATGTTGGAATTTATTTTACTATTGAGCTTATGGACTAGACTATGAATTCACAACCAGGATTGGCTGGTGACATAGGTTAGGAGACATCACATGTGATTCAGAAGCAGGAGTAATTTCCAATTCCTAGACCTGTTCATGGGTCACTGGGCCACTGCTGCTATTCCACTGGAGTTCAACTCCTTCACTGGTCTGCTGGTTTATGCAGATGCTCTGCTTGCTAGTTTGGTAGACCTCACATCCTTGACATCTTCTCCTCTTCCTGGTTCTGCTCATTAGGAAGTAAGCAGAAGCTCTCAAAGGCAGCACCTGCACTGGAAGCTCCAAGCTCAAACACCTACTAAGGACTACTGGAAATGCACCACACACACACACACACACACACACACACACCCCTAGATCTCTAGGCCTAACTGAAAGTACCCCCAAAATTGTCCCAGCCCATAATTATCCACCTTTGTCTCCACTATCTGCAAAATTCCAACCTACTCTCCAGTGAAGATTCATATGTTCTCCTCCCAATTCTGAACTCAGTCCATGGTTTGTTCCTACCTAGAACAAGGGCTTGCCTTGACTTAGTAACAATCCAAATCTCACATCCACAATTCAGTTCAACAAATGGCTACTAGCTCCCTATTACCTGCGTGGATCTCTTTCTTCTCTAACATCCCATGACAACTGCTCTTTCCAGTGCAGTCTGGGTTTTTAATCACAGTCTTGTATAATGGTCTGCCATTAATTAGAAGGAAACCCCCCATGACTGGGGACTGGGGACTTCATTACATATTACCTTTCTGTCTTTCTCATTACAAGGCACAGGCTTAGTCCCAAACAAAGTACTCAAGGTATAACAATGACTTTAGAAAAGAATATATTTTAGAAACCCATTTTTATTCCTTCTATAAAAAATCTATCAAAAAGTTCAGTTATTTCCCACTTCTTCCCCAAACTCAAACACACTTCTGCTTCCCACCAGAAAAGCAGCTGTGGTTTCCCACCATTCAAGAAAGGGTTACTAAAATTACTTCTTCAGCCATTTAGTTTATCACAAGAGATAATCTGCCTCTCCAATCTAAGCTTTCAAAGAGATTCATGTTAGAAGCACATCCCTCCAACAATGCCTTTCATTGGAGTCAAAAGTCACTGCTTAGAAGATGTTTGTACAATCTATTTCATGTCCCTGGGCAAAAGCACAAACAAGATTTCCCATCACTTATAGCCATCATCCATCTATTCATTCCAGCTCCTGTCTTTGGTAGCGTGCCCTCTATATCGTAATACACCTCATATTTCCAGTGTATTTCATAGTTCACTTTCATATATATCTTTGCAAATGTATAGCATGGATGCTAAGTGTCATGTTATTTAATGGGGAAGCTGAGGCTGAGAAGGGTAAAACCCGGGTTGCAAGCAGCAAAGCTGTTATAAAGCTGGTCTGTTCATCACGTTTGACAAAGCCAGTCCATAATGGTGAAGATATGCCCTGGAATAGCCCAGAAACAAAGAGAAGAGCCTAGATTTCTCTCTTTAAATGACCCACCCTAATTCCCAAACGAAGCTTCCTCATACACAGAAGTGACTGGTGATCACACTGTCTGCTAGTCTGATGCTATTTCAAGAGCAAGAATACAACGAATGCACTTAGTAGGCCCACAGGTTCTTTCTAGAACATGAATAACTGTTGTAGAGAAAGCTAGAGAAAGTGGAAAGAAAGAAATACCTTAGGGTAAGCAAAACAGATTCAAGACTCAACTTTACCACTTACACACTGTGAGACCTTGAATGAGCTACTAAGCCTGGGCCTGTGTTTCTTATCTGTAAAACAGAACTGGCTTCAAAGATCC